ACTCCATCACCTTCTCCCCTCCTCCTACTTCTCCTCCTCCTCCTGCCCCCTACTCCTCCTCCATGACCGTCTTCATTCGATCTCCATCACCTTCTCCGCTCCTCCTCCTCCCCCTCCTCCTCCTCCTGCCCCCTACTCCTCCTCCATGACCGTCTTCATTCGATCTCCATCTCAGGGGCAGGTACGTTTACGTAAACCATGCGTAAACACAGGGTACATATACGCTGAGAAGATACAGGTCTGGTACACTTGTGTATACTACCATAGATATAGAAGAAGGCATACCATAGATATAGAAGATATATACTTCTTCTATATCTATGATACTACGTACCTCGGGTACATATCTGTAGTACCTGATACGACAACGACCCCTTCAGCCCCAGTTGATGTTCATCTGCCAGCTGCTGCCTCATCAATCTCAGGCAGGTAGTAATTGGTCGACCGACTGGCTGACCGTGTTTTGATGATTTCGCTCCATTCGGTAAATTTGAGTAGTTCTTTCAGGGCGACGGAACTAATTTTCTGAGGGTATCTGATATTTATGGCCCTCTTTAGAAGGCGGCGTTGGAAAGAGTCAATTCTACCAGCAAGATCTTTAGTTATATTGACCATAATTTGGAGTTGTAGAGGAATACAGGCTCTATGAGTGCTGTGAAGAGATGGTACTTCTTTGTGATAGGTATACGATGGTGACGCCATATATTGTCCCAAACATTCATTGCTAATATAGCTTTTTGTTTTCTTTCAATGAGGTCTTCCTCAGTTTCAAGACGACTGCCCAGGTATTTACATTTTTTCCAGTTATTGCTTCCCCCTCTTTTAACTGTATACTCCTCGGTTTTGTCTGAGTTACAGGAAAGATTTCTGCTGTTGAGCTGTGGTGGTATAGTTTCTTTGTAGTATTGTGCAAAATGATACGGTCCTATGATGATCCAGCCTATATCAACCGCATACTGTGGTGTGATGGTTACGTTGAGGTTGTTCTTTATTTTTCCATAATTATGGTCGCAAAGGTGTGATGGAATAGTGTCAGGTGTTGATGATGGGTATTGGTGGTCTCTCAGTTCTAGTTTGGTGTCAGACAGCGTGCTAAGTACTATATAAATATGACTGGGCTGAAACAGTCGCCCTGCGGTCCTCCCATTTTGGTGAGGAAAGGATCTCCCAACGTATCACCTACCCTAACTTGAAGTCTCACATCTTCCAATAGCATTTTGATCATATGGAACCTTCCTTCAGCGCGCGAATCCGTATAGCGGGCAGCGCCAAATGGTACGTGGTACACCCCGCGGTCGCGTGCGCCCAGGTCCCGCGGAAGTGCGCGGCTTGACCACTCTCGACGGTCGTGGAACAACGCATCTTTTGCGAACGCAATCTTGTACCCGGTCTCTCTGGATCCCGCATTATGGTTGCCCTGTCTATCGTATCGAAAGCTTATGACATGTCCATCATCAATTTTCTTCTAGAAGTTCGCATATGAATTATTTCTACCGATAGATGGCGCGAGGATGTCATATTTGATCATAGTCGCTGCCAAAGATCGTAGAGCGCTAAAGGCACTATACGATCTTTGGCCTTCGATCTTTGGCTTACGATCCTTCGGCACTATACGATCTTTGGTCGCTGCTACATTATTGAAATACCCTGAGAACAATATATACATTGTATATATTGTTCTCAGGAAATACCTACATCGAAGTGTAGGATGGGAATTTCACGGCCAAACCTTTACCAATCTTATCCAGTAAATGTTGTTCTGTATAGGTACTGTAATTATACTAATTGCATTCTACGTTAAATACGTTTTAGACTAGAGTATTATAATACCTTTAATAATGCATTTTACGGTTACACATAACATACAATGTGCGCATATGAATTATTTCTACCGATAGATGGCGCGAGGACGTCATATTTGACGTAACAATGATATACCCTCTGCGCGCGAACTGCGCGTGTATGCACACCAGTTTGCGTGATAAATGTATTTATCCTGTACAATGTATTTTCTCATGTATTTATTTCTCGTGCTATGGATTTATTTTTCTCTATTTAGTATACTCACTCTCTTTCTCGTGCTATGGATTTATTTTTCTCTATTTAGTATACTCACTCTCTTTCTCGTGCTATGGATTTATTTTTCTCTATTTAGTATACTCACTCTCTTTCTCGCTCTCTCTTTTTCTCAATCCTCCCGCTGCGCTGAGACGGGTCTATTTGCTCCCCCAGGTACTGCCAGAACGTTACCCTGGGTACGGTCCGCGTATACCGGAAGAACCCTGTACTAATCTAATATGCCCGACCGTACCTCGCCTACTCCACTAACGAGGCCTACTCCCTAACCCTAACCCTAACCATATCAAATAGTTACCAGGGTAGGCCCTACGTTCCGGCAGTACCCTGGGGGACATAGACCCTATGAGCCCCACTGGCCTCCCTACTCCCACTCCTTCCCCTCCCGCTCTCCGCCCGTCTCCCGCCCCATCCTAGCTCTCCCATCTCCAGCCCCCTCCCCTTCTCCCGCCTCCCCCCTCAAGAAGGGGTCGCCGAACAAGCTGCACTGGGCCGAGAAACACGACTGCGCCTTTAACGAGATCAAAGCCATGCTCGGCACGCCACCAGTATTGAAGTTACCACGCTTCGAATGAAGAGTGTGGTAGGAACGCGTTAGATGTGGACGTCGGTGCGGTCTTGCTGCAAATTAAGCCACGCAGGGGTATTGCATCCCGTGGAATATGCTAGCATAAAGCTAACCGCAGCCGAAGCAAGATACGCAGTGGTGGAGCGCGAATGCCTAGCTATCGTGTGGGCCGTGGGTAAATTCCAGACCTACCTCTATGGGCGAAAGTTCATCCTGCAAACCGACCACCATCCCCTCTCTTACCTGGGGTTAGACAAGTTGACCAACCCCAAACTAATGCGTTGGTCGCTCGCGCTGCAGCCGTACAGGTTCCAAATACAAGCGATACCTGGGGCTGACTTTTTGAGCGTGTCATATTATATAGTGCTACCCAAACGCATACGCATGTGCAGACGTAAACATTCAACAGAACCATGATTATATTCTGCATCCCGTGTTTGGATTACTGTACTGTACTGTGATTTGTTGTTGTTGTGATTAGGATTAGGGTTAGGGTTGGAAGATACATAGGTAGCGTCATATCATATGTAGCATGGTTTCACGGGCGTGTGTATTATATTCTGCACCCAGGATGCACAATATAATGGGGATGCACTCGCTCACGCTACACCGGCACGTAACCGGCGGCACTGCCAAGACGCACGCGTGAGAGGGGCCCTCCGGCTAACCCGTGCCTGTCGGTTGTAAGTGGTGCCATACGCCACCACTTCCTCAAAAGGGGACGTATTGTCATGGTTAGCCGGATTGCACGAACTGGCTTCGGAGCTACGTGGCGAGGTCACGAACTTAGCTAGCACGCTGAGCGTGCCCTGACAGTCAGAGCCTGAACGTAGGAAACGTCGGATATTTTGCCGATATGATCGTGTAGAAACGCGGTGCGCAAACCAGGACGTGTGTCGTCCCTGCCGTACGAAGAGAGGACGTGTGTCGTCCCTGCCGTACGAAGAGAGGACGTGTGTCGTCCCTGCCGTACGAAGAGAGGACGTGTGTCGTCCCTGCCGTACGAAAAGTCCGTATGGCACCACTTACAACCGACAGGCACGGGTTAGCCGGAGGGCCCCTCTCACGCGTGCGTCTTGGCAGTGCCGCCGGTTACGTGCCGGTGTAGCGTGAGCGAGTGCATCCCCATTATATTGTGCATCCTGGGTGCAGAATATAATACACACGCCCGTGAAACCATGCTACCTATGACATGACGCTACCTATGTATCTTCCAACCCTAACCCTAATCCTAATCACAACAACAACAAATCACAGTACAGTACAGTAATCCAAACACGGGATGCAGAATATAATCATGGTTCTGTTGAATGTTTACGTCTGCACATGCGTATGCGTTTGGGTAGCACTATATAATATGACACGCTCAAAAAGTCAGCCCCAGGTATCGCTTGTATTTGTAACCTGTACGGCTGCAGCGCGAGCGACCAACGCATTAGTTTGGGGTTGGTCAACTTGTCTAACCCCAGGTAAGAGAGGGGATGGTGGTCGGTTTGCAGGATGAACTTTCGCCCATAGAGGTAGGTCTGGAATTTACCCACGGCCCACACGATAGCTAGGCATTCGCGCTCCACCACTGCGTATCTTGCTTCGGCTGCGGTTAGCTTTATGCTAGCATATTCCACGGGATGCAATACCCCTGCGTGGCTTAATTTGCAGCAAGACCGCACCGAGGTCCACATCTAACGCGTTCCTACCACACTCTTCATTCGAAGCGTGGTAACTTCAATACTGGTGGCGTGCCGAGCATGGCTTTGATCTCGTTAAAGGCGCAGTCGTGTTTCTCGGCCCAGTGCAGCTTGTTCGGCGACCCCTTCTTGAGGGGGGAGGCGGGAGAAGGGGAGGGGGCTGGAAAAGGGTGGGGCGGGAGACGGGAGAGCTAGGATGGGGCGGGAGACGGGCGGAGAGCGGGAGGGGAAGGAGTGGGAGTAGGGAGGCCAGTGGGGCTCATAGGGTCTATGTCCCCCAGGGTACTGCCGGAACGTAGGGCCTACCCTGGTAACTATTTGATATGGTTAGGGTTAGGGTAGGGAGTAGGCGTAGGCGACTCCCTAGACTCGTTAGTGGAGTAGGCGAGGTACGCGGTCCGGCATATTAGATAGTACCAGGGTTCGTTCCGGTATACCGGACCGTACCCAGGGTACGTTCTGGCAGTACCCTGGGGGACATAGACCCTCTCAGCGCCAGTGGGCGGGAGGATTGAGAAAAAGAGAGAGCGAGAAAGAGAGTGAGTATACTAAATAGAGAAAAATAAATCCATAGCACG